CTACATCCCGCCGCGGCGCCTGGACCCCAAGGAGCACAGCTACTACTACCGCCAGGGCCAGGTGAGCGGGGCTGCGGGGGCTGCGGCAGGAGGGCCGGGGAGGGGGCCCTGGGGGAGGGGTTCACCATCCGGGAGGGACCCTGGGGACAGAGCTGCGCCCGGGGACCGGGCCTTGCGGGGCTGCTCGGCCGGTAGGCGGGGGCCGGGGCAGTGGCCGGGCGCGCGGAGACTAAGGGGCCTGCCAGGGCGACTGCGGCAAGACGGAGGGCGGCCTCCCACCGAGGCGCCTGGACCCCAACGTATGCAGCTACCACGAGCACGGCGGAGGGGCGAACCCCTGGGGAATGAGGACGGGCAGAGGCGGAGCGGGTGTCCGCTGGGACCGGGAGCTGGGAGTCGGGACGTGCAGGGGGAGGCGGGGTGGGCAATGCTCGGCTGGGAACTGGCGTTCAGGGCCAGTCGGGGGTGGGTTAAAGATGGATGCTCTTTGGGGAAGGGGGGGGGGGGGGGTGGGGGTTCGGGGGCCAGTCGGGGGTGGGTTAAAGATGGATGCTCTTTGGGGAAGGGAGGGGGAGCCGCTAGGAGCTGGACCCTTGAAAAGCACAGTGACCACCACCAGGACAGCAAGGTGACAGCCTCTGCCCAGGATCTGGCGGAGGGTCGCGGGAACGCCGGGGTTGCCCCTCCTGGCCGGGCACGGGTCCCTCTGGGGTCTGTCTGCGGCAGGCCTAGGTGGCCCCGGAAACAAGCCCAGGCAGCAGTGATGCCCGGATGGTCCAGGACGGGGGAGAAAACCCTCTGCTGGCCTGCAAGCCGAGGAAAGCTAGGAGGAAGATCTGACGAGCCGCCTGCAGGGGCGCTGGACTGGAAGTGGTGTTAGATTCTGGCCTGGTCCCGGGGCCATGCGCTTCCTGGGAAGGACCCTGTAGGTCAGCAAAGGCCGCCATGCACTGTGCACCTCCCACCAGCGGCCAAAAGCTGAAAAAAGAAGCAAATTCAAGACTGGTCGGGGGTCATCTATTCCTTTCTTCTCGCCATTGTTCCTGAATGTCTCCAGTGTGTTTTGCTCAGGGCGCAGGAGAGGAGCGTCCTTACTGAAAAGGAGCACTGATTGGGGGCCCTCGGCCTGTAGGGATAACTGGGACAGGCCTTTCTTATCCCAGCTATCCTGGTGGCATGAGTGCCCAGAGAAGGGTAGAGATTAACCAGGTGGTTGGGAGGAAGGAGATTGTTCCCTCATGGTGTTAAGGTATTCCCGCAAAATGCCTCCTTCCCATCCTTCTTCCTGCCACTCCCAATCCCAGAGCCCAAATAATCCCCATTGCGATCAGGTCAGGCACACTGGGGTACTAGCCACACGTAAAGTGTAAGAGCACTTGCCAAGCGTGGCCTTACCCACAGAAGCATCATTTCTAGTTTAGACCAATGCTGTGGGTTGAACTGTGCCTCCCTAACATTTGTATTTTGGAGTTCTAATCCCCAGTACCTCAGAATGTGAGCTTATTTGGAGATAGAATTGTACAGAGAGGTAATCAAATTGAAGTGAGGTCATTAGGGTGGCCTTAATCCAATAGGACTGGTGTCCTCCTGAAAGGGGCAGTTTGGAAACAGACTGGCATAGAGAGAAGGTGGAGTGAAGAGACACAAGGAGAAGATGGCCATCCACGGGCCTAGGAGAGGGGCCTAGAACAGGTCCTTCCTTCACAGCCCTCAGTAGGGCGGTAACTCCTTGATTCCATCCTTCTAGCTGCCAGAACTGCAAGAGAATACGTTCCTGTCGTTCAAGCCACCCATTTCTGGTGCTTTGTTTTGGGCAGCCTTAGCAAACTAACACAGCAACCATGAACCTCAGCCTGCTGAGGGCGTTCTCTTGTATCTGATAGTACCTCTCTACTTGTCTTTGAGCAATATGGAAGGACAGAAGGAAAAAGGGGGATATTTATGTGGGCTCTGCCTTTACAACTCTGCATTAATTTGTTCTAAGTTCAACCCCTACCTTCCAGAAGGCTAATACGTTAGAGCAGGGCATGGGAAACTTTTTCTGCAAGGGGCCAGATAGTAGCCGTTTTAGGCTTTACAGGTCACATGGTCTCTGTCAAAATGACTCAACTCTGTGGGGTAACAACAGACAACACTAAACAAATGGGTGCGAGGCTGTGTTGTAGTAAAATATGTTTATTAAAAGAGGCAGCTGGCCAATTTGGCCCAAGAGGTTTCGTTCACTGACCCCCACATTAAAAAGGCACACCTGTGGCCCACTCCACCTCTCCTTCCAAGTGATGGGGTCCCAGTCACTTCACACCTCTGATGTCTCTTTTCCTTGGTTTGTTTGGCCCGGGAAACTGATTCTCTGACTTTGAGATCGTTTGGAATCAAGAGGGTGAATTCTGTTTCACAGGTCTTCTAGAGGATTCAACTGCACCAAAATTCATTATAAATAATTTCAAGCCCTACTTAAGCTGAATGGAAACAGTACAGAATTGGTTCTTATGTCAGTGCTGTGATCAGAATGTTTGTGCCCCTCAAAATTAATGCATTGAAATCCTAACTCCCAAGGTGATGGTATTAGGAGGTAGGTAGGGGCTTTGGGCAGAGAACAGGGTACAAGGGTGGAGCCCTCATGAATGAGATCAGTACCCTTATAAAAGAGACCCCAGAGAGCTCCCTTGCCCCTTCCTACATGTGAAGACACAGTGAGAAGTTGCCTTCTAACCAGGAAACCAGGAAACATGCCTTCACATGCCTTTGGTGTTTACCAAAGGACCTCCCAACCACTAGAACTGTGAGACATAAATTTGCCACTTATAAATTACCCAGTCTATGGTATTTTGTTATAGCAGCCAGAACCAACCCTTCCATTCAGTTGATTTCTGCATAACACACTTACAGCAGTTTGTTTAGTGGTTAGTTAGTAGCACAGGCTGAGGAATTCTGGGTGAAAATATTGGCTCCAGGTTTACTAGCAGAGGACTTGCCCGAGGTACACACACTGTCTCCTCCCATCTGTGAGGCAAACATGACCAGCTTCACAGAGCTCTTACGGGAATTAATGTAATTAATACGTGCAAGGCGGCACATAGTAAGCCCCATGTAAGTATAGCTATTATTATTATTTGCTTTCATTGGTGATTATTAGCATTTCCTTCACTAAGTGTTGGGTGCCAGTGGCCAACCTCTCATATCCCTGACCCCCACTCACTGTCAGAGATTAACACAGGTGAGGGCAGATGACATGGGTGTCGATCGGTGGCTTTTAATCCGCTAAAGCAGCTCACCGCAGGAGCCCGCAGGGTTGATGCGCTGAAGGCTGCACACTTATTTAAAGCCCCAGTTATACCCCTGAATCGTCAGACACATTTGTCATCGAAAGCTGCCAGCAAAAGTGTGATCAGCTCCGGGACTGGTCCCTGGGGCCTCTAGCAGCCTGGGCTTTCCCTGTAAAATACCGTTCAGTGGCAGCAAAGCAGATTCAGGTCAATGGTGTTTTTAAATTACTTTTTTCTTCTTCTGCCTTGTGCAGCATTTCTGCTAGTGAAATGGAAAAGCCGAGTCAAAGGACAATGCCTTTTATGAAGGTTTTGATTAAATTTCTCAAAGTCTAAGAGCTATATTAAAAAAAACACCCTAAGCAGTTTTAGAATACCCGTTCCCTTGTGCCGAGGTGGATTGTGGATAGCTCTGTCTTGAGGAAGCTTTGTTCTGAAGGCGCCACCTTAGGTTTGGTGGGATTAGCTGACTCTCCTTCTCTACGTGTGGTGAAGGGGCAGAGGCTGACTGCTTCTTTGTGCATTAAGAACTCTACCCCCCGCCACACCCAGTCACCGCATTTCCCTTTGCCAGGTGCAGCCGGGCACTTTATTAAGACGCAGGCAAAGGGGACTCTAAGAGCCTCCTCCAGTGTCCAGTGTCGGGGGTGCCCAATACCAGCCCCCGTGGGCTCCCCACATGAAGCCGCCTCACTCAGCACCAAGCACATTCACCACACACCCTGCCACTCCTAGGGGCTGGGGGTAACTCCGTCCCGTCGCTGATCTACCTGTTAAAATCCAGGCAGCTTTCTGTTATCCAGCAGACTCTGCAACTCACAGGCTTCCAGTAAGAATGTGGCTAGCCCAGTGCAAGGATGACTGCTCCCCACGGGCACTTCCTTTCCCTCTCGCTGCCTAGCTTTCTCCTCTCACCTACTGGGAGCTAACCTACTAGATATTTTACTTAGTTATCTCATTGTTTTTTCTCCCACTAAAATGTGAGGTCCATGAGGGCATCGCGGCTCCATCCTCAGCCATCAAAACAGTGCCTGTCTCATAGCTGGTGCTCCATAAATACCTACTGCATGAATGAATGAGGAATGAATAAAGGAAAAAAATGGTTTTTTTTAAACAAAGGGATACATCATTGATTTACAAGATTAGCTTCATAGACTCAATAGGATTATCTGCTTGTTGTTATCTGCGGCCTCAGCATCCTCCTCAGGGATCGTCCCTGGCAGTGGATCTAGTTGCTTCTCTCACTCTGTGCTAGTTGCGGTTTCCCTGTCCAGCGACCTGGCCCCTGGAAACCTCAAGGCCTGGGAGTGGGGCTGGATGTCTTCCTCCAGGGCAGGC